GTTCATGATGCGGTCTGGGTATTCCTCACGGATCTTGCTGATCAGAAGGGTTCCCATGCCGGAGCCAGTGCCTCCACCAAGTGAGTGTGTAAGCTGGAATCCCTGAAAAGTCCAACAAATTGAGAAACAGTGTGAAAGATTGTCCAGAGTAAACATAAAAGCTACAAAAGATGCATTGACTAAATGTTTCTCACTTCATAAGCACATGTATAATGAATTTTGTGTACAAACTAGTTTCATGAGGGGTGATTTACTGCTTTAGACTATTTTCTAAGAATTTTATGTGCCTACAATTTACCTACTACATTTTGGTCTGTAGAGCTGTTTGTTTAAAATCTGCAAACAAAATATTGTTACATACATCTTGGATTATATGTCATTTTTGCAATTAAAGCTGCTTACCTGGAGGCAATCACAGCTTTCTGCTTCTTTCCTGACGACATCGAGGACAGAATCGACGAGTTCAGCTCCCTCTGTGTAATGTCCCTTGGCCCAGTTGTTTCCTGCTCCACTCTGTCCGAAGACGAAGTTGTCTGGTCTGAAGATCTGTCCGAATGGTCCAGATCGGACAGAGTCCATGGTGCCTGGCTCGAGATCGACGAGCACAGCTCGTGGAACGTACTTGCCGCCGGTGGCCTCATTGTAGTACACATTGATGCGCTCCAGCTGGAGATCAGAGTCGCCATGGTAGGTACCGGTCGGGTCGATGCCGTGTTCATCGGAAATCACCTCCCAGAACTAAAAGAGAATAAAATAAATGAATACCATTAAATCTCAAGTCTTATCAAAACATGCATAATCAACAATCACTAAATCTCAAATTAGCGCTTGGTGTTGGAAAGTTTTGAGATGAGAGATATCGGCTACAGCTCACGAGACAGCCAATGTAAAGCTTCCAGAAAAGTAATCTGGTGGTTCATGAACCCGATGTCAGATGACTCATAAGACCGACAGGCCATGATACAGACACGTAAAATTAATACACCCTGAATCACAGCATGGCCCGCTTAAGCACAATGTGCAATACTTGGACATTGATATATACATATAACTGCTACTGAATCAGGGATATTCTACCTTTGACATATTCATTGTTTGTTCTGTGTGCTTTCCATGGATTAAACCTAATCATGAATTTTGGCTTTCAGACTGCCCAGAGAATTAGGCATAGGCTACTTAAGTTGAGAGGAAATATCAGGCCTCTCGCCAAGAAATTTAAAAGGCGTGGCGCAACCTGAGGGAAAATTTGAGCCCCCCCCCAAAAAAAAAAATATATATATTTACACCTTGGTTGCTTTCATCACTGCACAGTAAGCTTGTTTGCCACATGTGCAACTTTGAACAATATAATAAGCACCAATTGAGGGAAAGGTTGAGCTTGATTTAAATATCTCTAACTCTAAGCACCTTTTGAACAATAGAACAGATTAATCTTGCGCTAGTTATTCCACATCATGTGGTATACATTATTACAGGCAGATTTGTGTGGCACACAAAAATAAACCCAACACACACAGCTGATCACTGAGCTTATTCAAAGTCGTCATCTTGAACATTGAACTTTAAAGGTAAAGACCAGTTATGGTCATGCGATTGCATTGTGAAAGAAACGTTGTGGAATCGATCAGAAAAGGTTGATCATCTAGCATCTAGCATCTGCAAGGTTCTGGAATTATCAAAATGATAAGAAATTTGGCCCATTCTTCGTAAAGTTACAAGCACTATACACAGAAAGATGTATATGGGACTACCCTATATCTCTCACAGACCATGAGAGAAACAAATTTACCAAATATATGAATTAGTAGGCAGTTTCCCGGCAATTTTTTTATCATGTATTAGTCAAAACATATTCTTTCACATGATTGGTAATGAGAGCTTCCATTTCATTTTTTGAAATTGGGGCGTTTCCAATACTGGTCTTTACCTTTAATCAAAATGGAGATTCCCATGGCATTGGAGAATGGGGCTAGGAAGGAAACTGCCAAATTTGGGGATATCGTTTTCCTTGCTAAATAATCATATACTTCATGATGACTTTAAATGGCTGACGATTTTGAAAAAGATTATCAGATAATATTTCTTGGGTTTCAATCTTCTTTCATAATTCATGTCTCTAAAAAAAATATTGAAAAAATAACCCCGGGAAATAATCCCAGAGGGTTAAATTTACTGAACAGTCAAAATCATGTACATGTATCTCGACTTGATTACATTCTATACCCCCCTACCCGCGAAAAAAAGATTCTACATGAGAAATGCGTAATCTATTTGATCTAATCAGAAGATTAAATAAGCATTTACAACCAACAAGTAAACAAATGCAACAATCTTTGAGTGAGTCTTGTGAACAAAGGTTCCATTTCCCCTTTCCCGCTTATTCCAGCTTGCATGGCTGGCGATACTGGAATCGGACGGTCGATGGACTACGCCCTGATTTGAGACCGCATGCCTTGTACGTGTGCACATTTGTGTGTACATGTACTAAGTACATGAACCACATATCCGTAGCCTCAAAGCAGTTGTGTGTATAGGTCCCCGTTGCAGCATGCAGCGCAAGTGAGGAATATATTCACAGAGAGAAAATGGAGAGAATTCTTAAGTATTATACTAACCTTAGCGCCGATCTGGTTGCCGCACTGGCCAGCTTGTAGATGTACAATCTCACGCATGTTGATATAAGTAGAGTCGAATTATCACAAATATGAAATAATGCACAAGAGAGGTGCTCTCGTCTGTACACCGTGAATTTTGAGCAGGAAATGACACGTTATCGGGAGTGCGGTAAATTATATAGTGGATGCATGCTATGCTGGAATATGGCGCGGCGCGGAAAGTCTTTTCTCAGTGCGGAGCAACCGTGCCGCCGTTATATGGAGATTTCGAAACACGCCCGCATTTTTTCCATCCTCCTTTTTTCTTATTTCCGCATGCATAAACACGGTCATTATTCAAATCAGGCAGATGGTTCAGGGATAGACTAAAAAGTGCTGTTTAAAAAAAAACTGCTTATTCATTTTCTATTTTTTTTTTCTATTTCATTGTTTTGTGTTTCTGCTTCAATTATTATTATTATTAGAGTTTCTGACCTGAGCTCTTAGTTTATTCTGAACATTTCACTTCACATTATAATTATGCAGATCATACACAGAATAAAATAATGCTTCGAGATTAGTTGTTATATATACAGAACAGAATAATGCTTCGAGATTAGTTGCTATCTGCAATTTATTCACATAACAACTAATCTCAAAGCATTAACGTACATGTATGTATATTTTACATTTTAATATAACAATAATAATACATTATAAGATGTATAAAGCGCTCCTAATGTTTCTTAAGGAAAAGGAAGGAAAAGTGAGAGATACCAAAGAAACTATGTTGAAATTATTGAATTACAAGACAGTAAACGGCAAAGAAGAATATGATATTACACAAAATAATGACTACGTCAACACTAATTGAAATTATAGATAAAACAGAAAAGGACTCAGACTTATAATATACCATATGAAATATATTAGACGAGTAAAACTGAATAATTAAGGTCAGTTGTGACATGAAAACCAAATGTGTAGCTTCTTACATCGTGGTATGAACGTATTATGACCTATACTTTAGATATACTCTTATATCCGATCGACCTCGTCCTCGAGCAATTTTGCGTATCCTAATTCATTAGATTTGTATACCACGGATTTTTACTGGAAAAACCTCTTCATTGAATTTTTGATGAATCTATTCATCTCCTGGCAACCGGGAGACAATTCATTGCCTGTTTACTTCAAAAGTGAACCATAACAAGCATCTTGATAACATTTAATCTGTTCGGCTCCAAAGCCTGAAAATCACGAAGTTGTGTATTTTAGTAATTGATTAGGAACACAAAATAGCTACCATTTAACCTGTCTTATAAATTATTCTTCATCATGCTTTTTGGTAGAATAATATATGGAATCGCAGGTGTTATTGTTTCAATTCGTTATAATAATTGAGCTTGTGCGGAAAGAGCTATATAAGTATATCTATTTGGATTGTATTGGAAAGACGAATTGCATAGCAGTTTGGTAAAATCATGTTGGTGACATTTTATATTTATCAATTTCAAAAACAGAATTTAACAAATATTAATCGAGTACTACGTGTGAATAAAGGTAGAAGAGTGACATAAGGAAATTTAAATCTACTCCAATTTTTACATCAGGCAATCTTTCATAATCCTCGTTTTATACCTGCTCACATGACTCTAATCTTCTAGTTATTATAAATTTCCCCAAAACAATGATTCAAAGTCAAAAGTAAGCGATGTAACTTCCTCATCAGGGGCAGCAATATTTGTCACGAGTGGGGGACCTGCCCCCCCCCCCTACGCTAGCTGCCCCTGAATGTTATTATTGATTTGATGGAGTGCTGATATTTTTACACATTATTCTTTTGCAATCTTGGGCATACTTTCCAGACAATAGCTGCATTCTAAAGCTCAACTATAGGAATACAACGTTCTAATGAGGGACTTCAATATATAGGACAAATTACATGAATTTGAATTAAATTTGGCACTAATCCTTGATGAATAAAGTTTATATCTTCACCGTGGAATTTTATTGATCAAAAGACTCATAGGAGATTGATCAATTAAGTTCTGATGATATATAAATGTCACCTATCAATTAAGAATAAACCATATTGTCACAATCATTTAATGAAAAGAGGTAAGATACATTTACTCCAACTTTATGGGCATGTGTGATTGCCTAAATAGACCAAGGAGTTACTCCTTGCATACTCTTTGCATGTAATGTAAACTGATGAGACTGTCCCCTTGTTATGAAGTAACCGTTTTCAGATTTATTTGGTTTATCTCCATGGATATCATTGGTCTAGATCTGGATGAACTTCGACCAATGACAAAGGCTCTCGCTACAGTGACCTTACTGAATGGCCAAAGAGGCCTTAATCACAGGGTCATTTGTTGTGACCCTCCGCACCGCAAAAAAGGACCGTTGGGAGATCTTGTCCTAGTGCTTTGTTCAGGCCCATATGAGTATACACATAGTGGTTTGATCTGCAAAGTATGAAGAAAGTATCATTTCCATGTGTGAAAGGAGAACAAAAAAATGACGATATTGTGCCTCAACGAAATACTAAACAATATGTTTCTAAGGAACGACTTATAAAAGTAAATATTTAATATAACAGCACTTGACTTGTTTACGAACCTGCTAACAAGAAATAAAAAGACACTTTTTCAAAAGACAAGAACATGTATATAACATGTCGTTCTATACCTTGAATACAGTAGGACGAAATAATTTGGTAGGACAGGTTCTAACGAAACTTGTGAAAAGTGTAAGCCTTAATATCCCAAAATAACAATGGACAGAGACCTTTGGCTCTGATTATTTGGTCATGGGTCATTACATGAAATGATTGTCAGGAAAAGGAATGTTTGTTGTGTTTATTGCCATGAAAACTTTACATGTCTAGACGGTTGGTTGGTCAGCCAAGGAGCTATGGTCATCCAACCAATTAATCAAAAAAGTCGAGGGGGTCGAACTTTTGTTTATAGTTGATTTAATGGAAGTCCCGCTGTGAGTGTTTGTGGAGGTGTTATTTGTGACAGGTGCATGTGTGTTAAGTACTCACCAACAACAACAACAGAATGTTGTCATTAGTTACGTATGTGCAGGGTTAAAATGACTTTGTAACATTGTTCAGATGAGAAGAAATGGTACTAAGGTAGTGACTTCAATGCTAGATGTACTGGTAAAAATAATCTGAAAGTTTGAGTGAAAACAGACCATTTAAAATTGGGAAAAACTGATCTGATCGATTCCTTAATTCTCCCAACTATATTATTACAATTTAATTACATTGTAAGTGAATTAAAATCTTTACAAAGCAATGAATTGGCTCTAAATTCCATTCCAGATATTTAAGTGTTGACAGATTTTTAAAAGCCTGTCTTATGTCTTATTTTCATGGAAAAACGGTTGGGAAAATTCAAGAATGGTTGGGGGAATTTACTGTTAATCACTGTTAGAGGGTGTCGCACAGTGACACCTTCAAAGAAAACCGTAAATATCTTTGTGGTTTGAGAATTTTTTCGGGATTTTTTTGCATGTTATAGGGTTAGTACAGTAAAAGGAATATAATAGGTAACATTTCATTAAAAAACTACGCAATTTTTTCATCAACCTTCAACAATGTTACCGAGTCACTTTAACCTAGTTTTTTAATTCCCTATTCCCCTAATGTTGCATATTTTAAAATTATTTCCCCTTACTTTTCTGCATCCTGCTAAGCCCCCTGTCACCCCAGAAGTTTCCACCAGAACCCTCTCGTGACATTATAGCCAGCTAAAAGAAGCATAATGTGAATGTGAAGGGTTATAGAACACCTGTAAATAATAGCATCTCTGAGGATTGAAATGGGTGATATAAATATTGCAAAATTGTTTTGGGGTTTATGATGGTACAATGTATAACTCTATTCTCAAATAAAGATTTACCGTACTTGTATTTGAGAGAACTGTTGCTGAGCTAGCGTAGTCTGCAGGCACAGACCCTAATTTGACACTTTATCAAGAAATCATTGTGCCTTGAGAGAAGTCTAGCCCAGCTACCTACTGGTTGTTTCAATATAGGAGCAGCTACAGTACATGGCCTATGGTAGTCTTATAGTGCAGACTCACTTTTACGACTGACCAGGGTTTGTGCTTGCAGACTAGAGCTAGCACCATGAGTGTCCTTGGACTGTGTGTGGCTCTATACGTTTACAATAGCATTATTTAGTAATATCATTAAACTTTCATATTTCACTGGATCATTTCAGCCGACCTACTTTTTTTTTTTTTCAATGATATTTTATTTTCTCCATTGCTTTTCACAAACAATAACAAAAATAACAGTAACAAAGTCAATACATAAAATAATCTGCATGTTAATATTATTATATAGAACATGATTTTACATTCACATCTAAATAATACAAATGAATTTTTACTATTTAAATCAAATAAAGCATGAAACATGCACGCATAAAGAAGGCATGAACATAAAAAGACATTTAAGAAAAAGAAAAAGAGAAAGAAAGAAAAAAGAAAAAACACACACACACACACGCACACACGTGCGCACACACACATATACATATATATACAGGGGCGGCGGAGCGACTTCGAAAGTGGGGGGGGGGCACCGAGAAAAAAGGGCACCTAGAAGGGAAATCTCAAAGCGAAAATATACCATTTTTTTGGCATTGGTATATACCCCTACATTTTGATTACAATTATTAGGGATGATTTCAATATTTGTTTCACTTTCTACACCATACAAGATATTGCTTAAGCATCATGCTTTACAGTTGGGTTTGATTGTCTAAACAAATTGTCTGCGAGCAAGCGAAGTGAGCGAGGAAAATTTTTAAGATGTGTGAGAATGTGTGAAAATGCAATAAATTTTAAATAATTCATTGCATTTCCCCCCAGTCCCCAACAGGAAAAATTCCTCTGTAGGGCCATGCATTATGGTTCAAGGCATGCCCACATAGAAGATTTTTTTATGTTGGGGGTCGGGGCAAAATGCAATGAATTATTCAAAATGTATTGCATTTTCTCTGTTTTTTGGTTTTTGTGGGGGCGTCGACGTACCCTAGCGCCTGCTGCGTACAGTCATGATTCATTGGCTAAGCAATGGCCTCGTTACTAGGAGCCCCCAGGATCAAAACCGTGTCGATGTGCTATATTAGTGCCCTTTTATGAGGTATTAATCCCCATTACTGTCAGTTATGACTTAAGGACATAGGTTCCCTAGTTGATTAGCATAGTAGCACACACATGCTTTAGCAGTCAAGCAAATCAAACACTCCTCAATTGTCATTCAATAAAATCTAAGAATGTATACTATTATCTAGAATAGATCTATTAGGAATAAATCATTGTCAAAATCATTCAATAAATTGGGGTAAAAATAATTATTCCACCATTATGACCAACAGTGTATATTTGCTTACATGTATCAAAATATAATATATATATACATTTATAAACTAGAACCTTGTTTAAAAGGGTATGTGTTTGTGTGCGTGCGTGTGTGTGTGTGTCAATATCCGCGAGAAAATGGGAACAATGATCATGCCATGATGACAATAAAATTACCTGGGTCCGTACATACAGACGAATAATTTTCCCACGAATTCAGTGTCTCCCATTTCTTCACATTCAGTCATGCCACATCCAACGAGAGAAGTTGCAGCCCACACTATCTGTTTGTACCAAAATAAAACATATATATAAAGATAATGATAATAATAATTATAATGAAAATAATAATATTACTAACTTTGATTTAATGTTTTTGTGTGTTTTTTCGTAACTGAAGAATGAAAGGCGGACTTGTTGAAATTGGGTCGTTGTTGATCAATACTTTTAGATAGAAGCTGCATTTGTCACATTTTCAGGAAAGATACAAACTTTAAAATGATCAAACTTTAGTTGTTAATTGTATGTATTGTCAATGGCTAGAACAGGTTTTAGGCTTTGGAACTTACCTGAGTGTAAGGATAACAAAAATCACGGGTACAGTTGTTGTTTTCGAAGTTATAATAATCCGCCATATTATTCCACGAATCCACAAACACATTAAAATTTGTGTCGGCGAGTCGCATTGGTTAGTCCACTACTGCGCATCACTTGCAAGCTCATCATTCCATCGCTGTAATCAGAGAACGAGGCAATTATAGGATACTTTTGTATTTCATTTATGTCGCTTCATTGCTCAAAATTATATGAAAGAATAAATTCACACAAACTGACAAATTAAGGAATGAAAATGGGATAAGAAGTGAAGAAAAATTGTTCAACATATTGCACTTCAAAATGATAATAAACTATATAGACATCGAAACTGTTACAGGTAAATTTTCCTTTTGGCTGCGTTCAAAGAACTTTAAAATCGTTATTACAGCCATCCTGATGAAACTCTTGCATAATGATGATAATCATAAACAAATATATTTCATAATAAAGTAAGAACAGAAAAAAAGAAACGGAAAGAGAGAAACTGGGGAAGATCGTCAAAAAGGAGAAGAAAGGATCTGTTGAAAAAAAGGAAAATCATAAGAGTGCCATTTTATTTTCTCATAGTATATACATTCATGAAGAGAGCACTGGCTTTAGGCAACCGATACAAATGAGTATGCGAGTGCTGTTTTCGTTGACTTAAAAAGCTTTTGAATGGTAACTTGCGATATTTGGATTACGAAGCTTATAAAAAAGGAATTACTGGTATCCCTTGTGCATGTTTGAAAAATTATATGACAGGCATAATATGTCAGATATTTGTAAATTCCAAGCTTTCATTTGAATCTGTTATAACATGTGGAGTCCCAAAATGGTTCATAGTCTAATACCTCTGTTCTTTTATTATTTATATAAACGACTTAGTTGAATGTGTCAAGTACAATTACATGCCGATTCTGTAGAACTTTGCAGGAATCATGAATATGCCATGTATGTCCTATCTGTGGAATGTAAACGTTAGCAGTGTCCTAATATTCAAATTATGAAAGGAAACTGGCTTTTTTCTTCTTTGGTAATAACACACATAAAATGAGCTGAACAGGGTACATGATCATTTGTCTACATCAATAACCCACTTTTTGTAATGGCCAAAATATAACTGATTGAATCTTTGCGCAGCATAAAACGTATGACCATTCGGTACAATGGTCTGAAAATCAGACTATTACTTACTGGCTCTATAGCTCTTAAGTCGATTCGACAACTAATGTATGCGACCGTCATTGTTGGTCAAACAGTTTTTGAGCGTCAAGTAACGCCTGGCTGGAATGCACCCCAGGGAGTGGAGATTGTGCACACAGTGTGTGCCAGCAAGCACTGAATCCAATGACCGGGGTAATAGTATATTTGTAAAGCGCTTATAGACATTTGTATTAAGCGCTATATAAAAGCTAAATATTATTATATTTTTGATCAATGTAATCCTGTTCAGCGATTGGTCAACATAGCATCATGTGACCAAACATAACATTGCTATGATTTAACCGTGACGTCATCCATGGTATAGTGCAAACTATACCATGGCACTATACCACGGATGACGTCATATATATGCGATCGATCAAGATCAATGTGCTATCGGTCGCGGTCGCGGTACTGTCGTCTGCGCTGCTCTCATTGCACTCTACACTACTTCAGTGCGATTAACATAATTTATTATTATTATTATTATTTTCATGAAGGTTGGTTTGAAAAATGTTAAACAAATATATCATGCACTATTTCAAGCCACTAGTTAAAATTATGGATTCCTCGGCAACAGAAATGGCACTATTTTCTTCGGGGCTACGCCCCTCAGAAAATAGTGCTATTCCTGCCACCTCGATCCATAATTTCAACTAGAGCCTCTCAGTGCATGGTACATTTGTTTATTATTATTATTATTATTATTATTATTTTCCCATTTAAAGACATTTTCAAGCCCCCCCCCCCCTTTTTTTTTTTTTTTAGGGAAGTTCTAAATTAGTATTATCTTTCAAATGCCGTTGGAATTTGACCTTTTCATTTTTTTGGCCTGCGAATGGGACATAGTACCTTTAAGTGCAATTGTCAGAAAATTGTATTGTATCCTTTTAGGAAGCAGCCATAATGATGTCAAAGCAAACTACACAACACTCCTTTAAATCAAGTTCGGCATTTTAAGTACCTTGGTCTGATATATGATGAAAATTGAAATAGGAAGTTGCATATTGAAACTATTTTGAAAAAGATTGGGAAAATGGTAAGCTTTCTTGGAAGATTAAGACGTTCGTTAAGTGAGTTTGTTTTTAAATTAATTTACAAAATAATGGCACTAATTCTTCCTCAATCTGATTATGGTGATATTATTTTATAACTCAGCTTTCAAGAAATATACGGATAAACTACAAATATCACAAAATATTAAGAATAAAACCTGAATCCCATGTTTTGGTTCTTGAGTTACAAACGCCTTAATAGACTGGCAATTCTTAGTAAAAAGAAGACATGATAACTTTTTTGTAATAACATATCAAATATTGAATGACTTAATCCCTGCCTATTTAGAAAAATAAATTTGAGCCTGTAACTCACCCCTACCCTTCGCGCCTCGGAAATAAATATACGATTACCAAAGCCACCAACAAAATCTTTGAAAAGGTCATTCAAATATAAATTTATGCAAAGGCGTTTAATGCTCTTCCTATTGATCTTAAATCTTCTACCAGTGTCACTATATTTAAATCGAAAATTTCTGCCCTATAGAGTCGGAGATTACGAAGCACTGTCCTTATTAATATCATATGGTCATTTTGTAAAACGACATCCACCCCTCTCCGATTATCTTTATTGCCTGTCTCCTTTTGTTTTTCTTTGATATTGTTGAAATTGGTTCAATTATATTTTACTGTTCGTATATTGTGTACTTTGCGTTGCTGTGGACCCCTCTGAAAACCAGCGATAACATGTCGTTGTTGCTGAGCAGGGCTATCCAACAGTGCTGGGGTTATAATAACTATACAGTGCGTCCCAGAAAAAACGAAACCGAGATTTATCGATGTTTTATCATAACTTAGTCACATTTATAATTAATAAATGACACATATTTGGAAAGCTTAGATCCTCCTCTTTTATTTGATGCAACTCACCTGATGTATATTTCATGAGTGATTTAAATGAATTTGAAGAGAGGAAACCAAAAAGTCATTTGGCGGACGATATCTGAATTTCAAAGGGAAAATCATATTTCTAGAAAGTTGAGTTTCTGCCCTTTCATATGACACCTCAATCACGAAAAATGAGCCAGGAATAACAAAGTTCTGTATGTTTAAAGTAGTGCTTGCATTTCCATAATTTTATCAAACGAATTCGTTTTCACTGGCTGCCTGCCGTAGCAAAAAACAGAATTGTCAAAAGACTTAACTCCGTTTCGTTGACAATGAGCCATGCATGAAGTCTTTCGTCTACGGCCGATTGTCAACGAAACGGAGTTAAGTCTTTTCTTAATTCCGTGTGTTGCTAAGGCAGGCAGCCAGTGAAAATGAATTCGTTTGATAAAATTATGGATATGGTGTTATATGAAAGGGCAGAAACTCAACTTTCTGGAAAAGTGATTTTCTCTTTGAAATTCAGATACCTTCCGCCAAATGACTTTTTGGTTTCGTCTCTTCAAATTCATCTTAATCACTCATGCGTGAAATATGCATGTTATATGAGTTACATCAGATAAAAGAGGAGGATCTCAGCTTTCCAAATATGTGTAATTTATCAATTATAATTGTGATTAAGTTATGATCAAACGTCGATAATTCTCGGTTTCGTTTTTTCGGGGACGCACTATATAGGGTCCTATATAGGGAATAACAGCATTCTTGCTGATAAGGCCTCTCTGCATGATAACAAATAATGATAATAATAATAATGATAATACATGTAATAATGATAACAACAATAACAATAATAATAATAGTACATGTATTTATTATTATTGTTATTATTATTATTATCATTATTATCAATTTTAACAAATTTTTCCCAAGACGGCTGCCATGCTAATTATAGCTGGCCAAGCCTATTTATTCACAGATATTGTGCTATGTGAGTATACTGATGCAATGTATGACAAAACAATGATTTGTATCACTTAAGAAGCTATTTAAACAAAATGTATATCACAGGCTGTTTAAAAAAATATTTTTGATGGCTTTTTTGTGGATTTTTTGTGTGTGGCTTTAAATAGTAAATAGTGAAGAAAAAAAAGAAAAAAAGGAGGCAGCGGCCGAAAAGGAGGCGGGCAGAGACTAGAAACACTTTGTTTTAGTTATTTGGTATAATGTTGGTCCAGTGTTACGAATTCGGTCAGTGTAGGAAATTGACATGGAGCCAGTTTCGCAAGAGCAAGTGCAGGTGTCGCAAGATCAGCAAGTATCGTATATATAAAAACTTACCAGAGCTAACATGTTTGCAGCAGGTGGTTGTATCACTACGGTACTGGTTATGTTGAGCCACGATTTGTGATATCTCATCGTCGGTGAGTCCATTACCACCCTGCAAGACTGCCAAAACAAGCACGAGACTCAATGCACAGATCATGATGATGATGTGGTGTGGTGTGTAGGTATAGGTAGACCAGTGGCGGATCCAGGGAGGGCCGGGGGGCCCGCCCCCCCCCCCCCTGGGGAAAAAAAAGGGGAAAAAAAGGGGAAAAAAAGGGAAAAAAAGGAGGAAAAAAAGAAGGAAAAAAAAGAAGGAAAATAAAAGAAGGGAAAAAAGGAGGAAAAAAAAGAGAGAGAGAGAGAGAGAAGGAAAAGAAGGGAAAGAGGAGAGAAAGGGAAAGAAAGAAGAGGAAGAAGAAAAGAAAAGGGGGAAGAAGTGATGGGGGGGGGCGAAAGAGTCTCGCCTCCCAGGCTGTCGCCTCCCCCCTCCCCCAATCAAAAAAATAAGAGAGAAGGAAGGAAATGGAAAGAAGGGGGTATCAGTTGCAATTTTTCCACCAACAAGTTGTGGATCGGGGTGGGGTGGGGGCAAAAGGCCCTTGCCCCCCCCCCCCGCCCCGCTTAAAAAAAAAGAGAGAAAGAAGGAAAAGGGGAGAGCTAAAAGGGACCGAAAAAAAAGGTGAAAAGAAGTGGAAATAGATCATTTGCAGTTAATCCCGCCAACAACGTGTGG